CCCCAAAACCCCAAAACCCCAAAACCCCAAGTTTAGAGATATAGGTTGAAATTTATTTTATGGGATTGGAAATTTGGGAAATTGGGATTTTGGGCTAGATTTGGGGGTCGTTGTTGGAGGAGAGGATCTGGATGTGGGACATTGAGTGGGAGGTTAGTAGAGAGGTCATTTTGGAGGTGGAGATGGAGTTTAAGCCGATGTTGATGGATTTTAGGGAGGTTTTGATGCTAGATTTACTGATTGCGCTGATTATGTGAGTGAACATTTCTTCAAAATTGTTTGGATCTGAATTTAATTCGCTACTCCCTCCCCAGCTAAAGTCTAATTTTTCTATTTTTGATTGATGTTGTTCTATATTTTAGTTATTAAAGATATCTTAAATTAACGCATTTAGCATTAGGATAATTTATTTTACCCAATTAATTATTTACCATTTTCAAAGTTCATGTCATCTTTTGTGTTAAGTTTTCAAACTCTAAGCATTAATGTTTTGGAATTCCAACTGTTTCTGAATACATCAGAAATATCTTCTGAGCTAATACTGAAATGATTTATGCAAACCTCATCGGTAACATTCTGCAAAACTGTATTTATTTCTTTAATGATTTTAGAATCTTGAGGTATTAATCCATTATTATAACGATTGATTCACAAGCAAGGAATTGAGCTCGGACAACAATACTTCACAAACTCATAAATCAGACTCTCCTCTCATTCCTTTATACACTCCAACCTAATCCCTTTAATCTTGGGCAATATAAGTTTCAAATCTGCAAACTCCTTGACCACTTTCTTCGCTTTCTCTTGCTTCATATCCAAATTCACCACATATCCTTCATCAAAACTAACATCTGCTCCCATAACTCTCTTATAAACCTCCTTGCAAGCCGGCTTTCCTACCTTACAAATAACCTCTTCGTGCTGCTCTACAAGCGCAAGGTTCTCCTTAAGTTCTACACTGAGGGAGTAAGCCTACCTTCTGCTATCTTGGCGTTCTCGGCGGTCAGGTCCTCCACTTGGCTAGAAAGAGCAGCATTAGAGGTCTGTAGAGTGTCTTTAGCCTTCTGTTCTTCGGAGAGAGAGGCCCTAGATGGTGAGAAGGGGCCTTACTCTTGAGCAGTTAGTTTAGACTGTAGGTCAGTGATCACTGATTCAAACTGGAGTTTGTACTTCTCTTCAATTTCTTCCTCCATCTATGAGACATTAAGAAGGGCCGAAAATAAGAAAGAGGAGGTGAGTACCTTTTTGAGCTCTTCGTTCTTCTTTTGTTCCATGATTTGTTTGTTTCTTTTGGAAATCTCTCTGATAGCTGAAGTGTACTCATATGTGCTCTTAATCTTTTCTATTTTAAGAGTAAGATAAAAATTTTGGATTTGTGAAATTGATGTTATGTCTTCTTAAAAGGAGAGTATACCTTTTGAGATATATTCACCTCCATTTGAGATGAAGTGCAGCTCACTGTCTTGGAGAAGCTTTGAGATTGGGTTGCATCCATTGATTCCACTATGAAGGGTTTAGAGATTTCACTATAAAGAGATAGACTTACTTCTTATACTTTCCATGTAAGATTTCTGACTGCATCCTAAAATAAAAATGTTAAATTAATGGAGATTTGATGAAGATTCAGCCCTACTTTTGGAATGCTTCTAGAATTTCTCCGTACTCCAAGAACGCATCATTTCTAATAGCTTTAGTAGCTGCTTCTTGGTAAGTGGTGAAGTCTTGAGAGATTTCTTCTAAAGCCACCTCAAGACCCTGAATTTTTTCAAGCAATCCAAAGTCATTAGCTTTCTTTTTCAAAGATTTGATGTAATTGAAAAGAAGTCTCATCACATGGTCTAATTCTTCAGGCTCTTCTATTCTGGTTTTGCAGCACTGGTAGTGGACTGCACTGCAGCATTCTAAGCAGAGCTGCTCCTTGTGGTCATTGCAGTAGTATTTCCTTATTCTACAAAGGCATTAGAATTACACAGAGGAGGAATCTCATTAAGAATACCGAAATTTGTAAGTTCAATGAAAAATAAGAATAAATTCCTTTATTGCTGGGTTTTAAATTGGCATCACTAGCTAGAATTTACACCCCAAATTTATTTTTCTATCAAACTAAGAGTACCTTTGGCAATTCAGACCTCTGCATTTCTTCCTATAGTGTAAATATTGAAGATCCTACTTCTTATTTACTTGATTTAGCTCCATTTTATGAATTAATATTTTATCTCCTTTAATCTTGCTATTTCAACTTTCTGAGAGCCCTGTGGGGTTTTGGGGTTTTGGGGTTTTGGGG